ACCGGAGTAAAACAGAGTAGAATCAACATTCTCACTATAGAATTTGAATTGTTCAGAATGAAAGATGGAGAGAGCACTCGAGATATGAAAGTGATTCTCACACCTCATCAACCATCTCACTGCCCAGGGTAAAAAGTATAGTCAAGAGGATCAAGTAAGCAAAATATTAAGAGGACTCACCATGGAGTGGGAACCATAAGTGATAGCCATTAAGGAAACAAGGAGAATCAATAGGCTTGGCTGTTGCATTGTTCAGAAGCCTGACAAAGTAAGAGAGCAAGTAAAAGTACAAGAAGGAGATGAACGAGAAGAATTGTAAAGACATTGCTCTCAAAACTTAAGAAAGTGAAGAAGACGACAAAGAGGATCTGGAGGATTAGGAAATGGGCCTCATAATTAGGAGCTTCAAGAAGTTCTATAAGAATAGAGCTAGAAAAAGGTTCCAATTAAAACATAAGGCCTCAACATCTCAAATTGAGCCCTAGGATCTAATAATATGCTTCAAATGTAAGAAGCCGGGACATATTAAAGTAGATTGGGCATAGGTGTCCAAGTCAAAAAACAAAGATAAAAAAGAAGAAGAGAAATTAAGAAAGAAGAAGGCATTCGTCGCTTTAATATGGGGAGATAGCTCATCTGAAGAAGATGACAGTGATGATGAGAAAACAACCAACATTTGTCTTGTGGCACAAGAAGACAAAGATTCAGAGACCAATCAGGTAATCATTTTTGAACCTTCCTATGATGAATTACAATTTGAATACAATGCTTTATATTCTGAATTAGTAAGAATAGCTAAGGAGTTGGTAAGCTCCAAAAAGAAAATAAAGAGCCTGGAAGAACCAGTAAAGTAGAAGGAACTTACATCTCCAACCTACATGAAATGTGAGCGGAACAAAAAGAAAACTGAGGAGCTCACAGACTTTGGAGAAGTTTACAAAGGGTAGTGAAATGCTCAAAGTAATACTGGGAGCTCAACGTTGTGCTATGGATAAATCTAGAATAGGATATGATCCTATTCAGGATAAAAGAAAAGGGAAGAAGAAAAATGGTGAATGATCATATTTGACATTCTTTAGAAACTTTGTTGATTCTTCTAATCCATTTGCACTTTATTCCTACTACAACCGTAAGGGTCATACAACCTCTTCTTGTCATCACAAGAAGAAAGGAACCTATCGAACATTAAAATGGGTGCCCAAAGGTATTTATTTGCTACGGACAAACTAAACTAACCAGAAAGGACCCAAGAAGGTATGGGTACCTAAAACATGATTCTTCTGTTACAGGTATGTCTCAAGGCATCCAGAACAAACAAATGATACATTGACAGTGAATGCTCCAGACACATGACTGATGAAAGTGACAAATTCTCAACACTCAAACCCAAAAAAGGTGATAAAGTGAGCTTTGGTAGGAATCAATCTGGAAGAATAGCAGGAATCAGAGAAGTAGGAAGTGATAAAGGAATGAAAGTTGAAGACATGTAATATGTTGAAGGATTATGTCACAACATACTCAGTGTTAGCCAAAGTACCAACAAGAACAACTAGGCAATTTTCAATTCAGAAGAATGCCTGATCATTAGCAAAGATGACCTGTCACTCAAAAAGGAAGAATTGAATGTGAAGCTAAGAGCTCCAAGGGACGATGACTGCTATACTATTCAAATTGATTCTAAACTCTATGAAAACTACTTTGTCAGTAAAAATGAAGAAAGTTGGCTTTAGCAAAAACATCTTGCTCATGTTAATATGAATTAGCTTTCAAAATTAACAAAAGGGATTTAGTTATTGGTTTATCCAAAATCCAGTTTGAACATGACATTATCTGTGACGCTTGTCAGAAGGATAAACAAACAAAGTCCTTATTTAAATCAAAGAAGACAGTCTCAACTAAGAGGCCACTCTAAATACTTCACATGGATTTGGTTGGTCCGTTAAGAGTAAAAAGTTTTGATGGAAACTTATATACTCTTGTGATAGTTGATGACTATTCAAGATTTACCTAGACTTTGTTTCTTTCCTCTAAAGACGAGACATTTAGTGCATTAACTATTTTTGCTAAAAAGGTCCAAAATGAGAAAGGTATTTCTATTGTATCAATTAGGACCAATCATGGAGGAGAATTCGAGAACAATGAATTTGCCGACTACTGTGACAAATTTAAATTCAAGCTTCTAAATTGCGGAAACAACTTGAGCCAAGCCAGTTATCAGATCATGCAGAAAAAATAGCTTGAGAATTTTCTAAATTGATGATAATATAAAGAGAATTTTCTAAATTGATGATAATATAAAGAGAATAATAAACAGAACGCCAATACATAACAATCCAACATTGCACAATAAAACAATCCGAAGCATACATCGCTAGTAATCAAAATGAAGAGGGCAGAAACATGATAGCTGATTACACACAATTAAAGCAAAAACTAGTAATCAAAGTCACCAAAAAAAAAACTCAATCTTTATTCAAAAACGCCAATATTCAAACAATTACACGACCACAATGAAAGCAAAATTAAAATGAAAATTTTAAAATAAAGCAATAAACAGTGTGATAGCGTCCGACAAAGGGTTGAGAACCACGCAGGGAACTGACGACACGGGGAATAAATTCAAATATAGATTCAAAGCCAGACTGAACAAATCAATCTCACTGAATTTTGGGAGTAGACAAAGCACCAATGTTCGGAACTTCTTCAGTACTTGCAGGAGACGACCATGTAAGGTTGGTAACAGCGGACGGCGTCCGACGGCAAGCTCTCCCAAGTGTGGAGTGCTAATTGTTAGTCGACGCCCAAGAAAGGATCCGCTAGCGCTGGCTAGTTTTGCTGAGGTTACAATTTGATTTATTAATTTATATTAGGGAAAAAAAGCACTATTTTTTATTTTTATGTTATATGATATCCGAACCATCCCATAATTATAGTATTACCTCCTCTACAAGTAAAAGGAAAAGTTCTTTAGGTAATAATTAGGGTCATTTTAGGCTCTGGAAGTGGTTGGGGTTTTTCTCTCTCTTGGGAAACGCGCTGCAACTTTTTTTTTTTTTCTATGAACTCCATGGCCGATACGGGGCAACGGAAAATGCCACCAGATCGTAAGCTAGCTGAAGACATCTCCGGGAAAAACAAGAAGAAAAAGATTGAAGAACCTCCGCAAGCAATTATGGATGACCGGATGGAAGAACAAGGTGAAGCAGAGCAACACTCGGCAGAAACGAAAAAGAACACGGAAGGGGGTTTCGTCTCATACAAAGCCTCCCTGATGGGTTTCAACGGCGTGGCGCATGGCGCGAACCGGATGGAGGAGGATGATCTTTTCAATGCTGAGAGCGAGTTACATTGGAAATTACCGGAAGTATCTGAAGAGTTCAAAAACCAAATGGAAATATACCCTGTGGTTCCTGTAAGCGAGGAAGAATTCAATGAGTGGTGCCAGCCCTGGAATTATGCACTGGTGCTAACAATGCTAGGTAGAAGGTTCAATGTGTATGCTCTAAAAGATTACCTGCGAAATTTGTGGGGTTTCTCGGACTTCGATTTAATCGACCTCCCAAATAATTACTTCCTTGTTCGCTTCAGCGAATCTGATCAATGGAAAGCTCATTACCGAAAAGTCTTATATGATGGGCCATGGGTGGTAAAACAACACTGTGTCCTGGTGCAGAGATGGTCGCCATATTTCAACCCTCATCAGAATCCTCTGCGGCGGGTCGCCACATGGGTGCGGATCCCTGATATACCCATGCACTATTATAACAGTCATTGCATTACCAGAATAGGTGATCGTATTGGTCGAACTCTGAAGGTGGATATTAATACTCTCAGCAATGGCCTGCACACAAATCAGACGAAGGTCGAGAGAGGCAAGTATGCAAGAATTTGCGTGGAGCTTGATTTGCAAAAGAAACTGGTACCCAGAGTCATTGTTGCTGGAGAAATCTTCAATGTAGAATACAAAGGGCTAGGAGTAATCTGCTTTGCTTGCGGCAGGTTTGGTCATCAGCGTGAAGCATGCCCCTGGAAAGTCAGTATGAACACGCAATAGCCAAGTGCTTCAATGTCACCGCCGATCGTAGTTGCACCATCGAAAATGCCGGAAAAGAACAAGGCTGACACTGATGAGACGTTTGGGGTATGGATGCTTGCTGGCAAATCTTCTAGGGCTCAATTCCCGAAGTATGGAGAGCAGAAGCCTGGGTTGCGTACTGCAGCTAGTCAGCCGAAGGCTAAGCGAACAGAGAAAATGTATGTGCAGAAATCGAGATTCTCAGTCTTTAAAGATTGGGAAGAGACAGAACAGATGGAAGCAACCTTGCCCTTAGATACGAACAAGGAAATTACAAATCAGGATGCAGAAGGAAAGGCCATTGTCCTTTACCAGAAGAAGAGGGCTCTAGAGGGGGTCAAGGAGCAACCACGTCGAGTTAGGAATGAACAGGGGCGGAAAAATGCTCATAGTCCAAGGGTATCTACTAAGGACCTGGGAAAGGAGAACCAGCCACCTCCGAATGGGCCGAACTTTGGACCTGGGCCGGATAAAAATATAAGAAACAAAGAAACTGAGGTAGCTTCACAAATGGGCCAGACAAAACAGATAAAGCAGAAGAGCCAGCGGACCCATAGGGTGGTAATGGGCAATGTGGAACAAGCAGAATCAAAATTTGACGAAGCCCAATTGAGTACAATGGATAGGTGCAACATAGAAGAACCACACATACCGTCCCAAGCACTTAATCTCGTCACGAACACTAATGACGAGCAACAGGGACAGGATGGAACAGGCACTACACAAGGCAGTATGCTTGAGCGTATTGCAGTGGAAAGCTTGAACCCAAAGCCACCAGACCCATTGGTCGAGAACTCGGCAAGACTAGAGGAGGGGATGATAGAGGAGAGCTCGGATGTGGCGGAGGAGGTGCAAAGGAGCCGAAGGAGGAGCGAACACTGCAGCTAAGTGCTTGCTCTTGCCCTTTTCCTTCCTTTTTCCTTTTATGATTATTGCTTCTTGGAATTGCAGGGGAGCTGGTAGCCGAAGCTTCCCCATTTTGATAAGAGATATTGTTACGAAGTTTAAAGTGGACATTCTCTGCCTTGAGGAACCACGTGTTAGTGGAAACAGAGCGGATAATGTGGTGAAGAGGTTGGGCTTTTCTCACTGGATAAGAGTAGAAGCCAGCGGTTATTCAGGAGGGATCTGGCTTTTGTGGAACAGTACGGAGGTCTCTGTTACTTATATATGTTCCTCGGCGCAATTCATCCATTGTAAAGTGAGCAACAGAAGCAATCCGAATGGAGAACTCATTACTATTGTTTATGGGGAGACGAGCATCGCTGGAAGAATGATGCTTTGGGACTCCCTGAGACTGATTGCTGGCACGGTTACAGAACCCTGGCTGGTTTTTGGGGATTTCAATGCCTACATGTCGCTAGGGGACAAGGAGGGAGGAAGCAGACCAAATGAAGCAGTCATGGCACCTTTTCGGGAGTGCATAGTGGATTAGGGTTTAGCTAAGTGTGAGACAAGAGGGGACAAATTCACTTGGGAAAGAACCGGCCTGAAAGAACGACTAGACTGGGTCTTTCATAATGCAGCATGGACAGAAAGTTTTCCGAGAACCTTTGTTACACACGAGCTTCGCTTCAAATCTGATCATAGGCTCCTAGTTATAAACTCGGATAATCATGAGAACAGCAAGAGGAGACAGAGAACTTTTGTGTACCAAGCAGCTTGGGAGCTTGAAGATGATTTTAAGGATGTTATCTCGACAGCTTGGAATGGCAAGACCTGGCTAGAGGGTGTTAAAACTTTCCACAAGGAGGCATTGAAATGGCATGATCAGCAGGTGGGAAATCTGGTTAGGAGAAAAAAGGAGTTGATGAAGAGATTGGTAGGAATCGATAGGGAAAGAAGATTACATGACCACCCGGGGCTTAGAAGGTTGGAAGAGAAAATTTGGGGGCAGTACCATAAAACTATACTACAAGAAGAAATACAATGGTACCAAAGGTCGAGATGCAAATGGTTACAATGGGGGGATAGAAATACCCGATTCTTTCATGCGTCCACCATCCTCAGAAGGAAGAAACAGAGAATTGAGGCGTTGAAAAATGAGAATGGAGAGTGGGTAGAGGACCCTGAGTTTATGAAGCAGATGGCTTGTGAGTTTTATAGGAACTTGTACACCAGGGACTCGAGTTTTCAATCTGTTCCAAACTGGTATGCAAAATTTCCATAGCTGGATAGGCAAGAAATACTTTGGCTTCAACGTCTAGTGGACTCAATCGAAATAAAAAATGCCGCTTTTGAAATGGGGGCTTTTAAGGCCCCAGGCCCGGATGGGATCAATGCACATTTCTTTCAGAGCCATTGGAACTTGATAGGGGAACAGGTATGTGACCTAATCAAGTCTTTCTTTAGGGAACCAGCAAGAATCAGAGCAGTGAATCAAACACGCATAATTCTGATCCCCAAGGTGGACAATCCAATACACCTGAAGGATCTCAGGCCAATCTCTCTCTGCAATGTTAGTTTCAAGATTCTTACTAAGCTCCTTGCTGCCCGCCTTAAAACAGTAATGGATAAGCTGGTAAGTCAGGAACAATGCAGCTTCATACCAGGACGGTCCAGCTGTGACAACATCGTTATTGCCCAGGAGGCCATGCACACAATGCGAATCACCAAGCGGAAAAAAGGCTTAGTGGCCGTAAAGGTGGACATGGAAAAAGCCTATGACAGATTGGACTGGGACTTCATTAAAGACACTCTGCACTGTATTGGATTAACAGAAGGCTTGGTGGAAATCATTATGATGTGCATTACGACGGCCTCAATGTCGGTCCTAGGGAACGGAGAGGAGTGTGCTGATTTCAACCCCTCAAGAGGCCTCAGACAGGGCGACCCCCTTAGTCCGTATATTTTTGTTCTATGTATGGAGAGACTCGGGCAGCTTATAAAGCTAGAATGTGAAGAAAAGAGATGGAAACCCTTAAGATTCAGGAAAACAGGACCGTGTATCTCTCACTTATTTTTTGCAGATGACCTCATCCTGTTTACAGAAGCCTCGATGGACCAGATGATTGAAATGAAGCATGTTATGGAGAGCTTCTGTCTTGCTTCGGGGCACCGTGTGAATCTTGATAAGTCGAAGGTATTTTGCTCTCGGAATGTAAATCAAAACAGGGCACTGGAATTAAGCCAAACTCTGGGCATTGGACTCACGGCGGATCTAGGGAAATATCTGGGAGTGTCGTTGCTTCACAAGAGAGCCACCAAACGTACCTTCTCCTATATTACCCAGAAGGTGCAAAGAAGACTGTCATCTTGGAAGAGCCGGCATTTGAGCTATGCAGGGAGGTCGGTCCTCATCAATTCAGTGCTAAATGCCATTCCTAGCTATCTCATGCAATCTACTCTCATTCCAAAGGGAGTTCTCGAGGAAGTAGAGAAGGCTAGTAGGAGTTTTTTGTGGAGTCAGGATGCTGACACAAGAAAGATGCATATGGTCTCATGGGAGAAGATCACTGACAGGAAGACAAATGGTGGACTTGGTTTCAAAAATCTACATCAACAGAACAAGGCTTTTATAATGAAGTTATGTTGGGGCTTGATTACCAAACATAATGCGCTATGGGTTCAAGTGCTTAGAACCAAATATAAGTGTGGAAATGATGATATCCCAAGGGTTCACTATAAAAGAATAGCTTCCCTCACTTGGCGTTCCATATTCAAAGTGTGGGAGATCTTCATGCAAGGTGTGGGGAAAAAACTGAACAGCGGTAAGAACACAAGTTTTTGGTGGGACCTATGGACCCCATTGAATCACCCGCTCATAACATATGCAAGCAGAAACTCAAGGTTGGACGCTAAAGCCACAGTCAAGGACTTTGTCCGGGAAAATGGAACTTGGGATGTGGATAGATGGCGCGGAGTGCTACCTCCTCATATTATTAGGGCCCTACTACGCCTAAAACCCCCTACAAACAAACTGTTGGACGTATTTATTTGGAGACCAGCAGTAGATGGGAAATACTCGATTAAATCAGCCTATAATTTCATTGACATGAGACAGCGGTCTGGTAGGGAGTCTTGGTGGCAGAAACTTTGGAAGTGCCGGGTACCAGAAAAAGTTAAATTCTTTCTGTGGCAAGTGACCCATGAGAGTATAGCCACAAATGCTTTCAGAGCCCAAAGAGGAATCTCAGATACTGCTAATTGTCCTTTTAACTGTCAGAGAGAGGAGAGTATTATACACACTTTGAGAGATTGTGAGAGAGCAAGAGAATTTTGGTCATCAATAATTCATCCTAAATTTGCTTCTAGTTTTTTTGTTTCTAACCTGCAGGACTGGCTTTCTTGGAATGCTACGCATCGACCAGCCGTTGGAAGGCTCTCAAACTGGGAATGGATACGTGTTTTCATGTTTGGATGCTGGCTACTTTGGACATCTAGATGCACCTACGTGTTTGAAGGGAAAGCGAACACCACTAGAGAACTAATCCAGCGATGCAAATACCACCTGATGGAGAGTACGACTAATCAGAAGCTTCAACATGATGTTTTTAATGCTGCCGGGGAAACTGAGAACCAATGGACACCGCTACCAATAAATGTAGTTAGACTCGACGTGGATGGTTCGGTGCTAGGCAACAGACACGCTGCGTGCAGTGGAGTGATCAGAGATCATGGCGGGAACTGGCTCATGGGGTTTCAACGTAATCTGGGTTGCTGTTCAGTTATAGAAGCAGAATTAATGGGTATCCTGACAGGCTTGCAGACATGCCAACAACTGGGTTTCGACAGGATCATACTTTATACAGACTCTTTGGAGGCTTTTAATCTCCTGATACGAGATCAGGTTATAGACCACCCATTAAGATCTCTTGTCACTGATACGAGGGAAATGATATATGGGAACTAGTCGGTTGAGGTTCGCCATACGAGAAGAGACATTATTAGGTGTGCTGACTTTTTGGCGAGAACAGGGCATGAAGGATCTTTTGATACGGTTCTGGTTCTTAATGAGCCGACTGAATGCAGGAATATGACGCTAGAAGAACAACAAGGTGTCTGAGTTGGAAGCTCTTATAGGCCCTGTAGTGTTTATGTTACTTTTGTTATCTTAGTCGTGGTTGTTGGTTTTTTTGCTTTCTGCCCAAGCTTCGGCTTGTTGTCTTTGTCTCAAAAAAAAAAAAGTATTACCTCCTCTGATTTTTAATATAAAAGAGCTAATTTAATTTTTAATTTGGTCACTCTAATCTATTTTGTCTCCCATATGTATTCAGTTTTTTAAAAATAGTCCTTATGATAGTTACACATATTAAAATTTTCATCAAATAGTAGTTTTAGCTAATATATATGATTAGTAAAGATATTTTCGGAAAAGTAATACTCCTCCGGTCCTTAATATAGGACCCAATTCTTGAGTTGGTTTTGGTCCTAAATATAAGACCCATATCATATTTATCAATTTTCTCTAAATTACTCCTATGGATACTCCCTCAACCATAAGCAAGTAGAAGAGGGAGATAGGGTATTAAGAAAGATGATTATGGTGTTTTAGGAAAAATGTGTCACTTTTCTTATAATTAACTAACTTACCTAACTTCCTTAATCTAATCAAATTAGTTAAATGGGTTTTATATTAAGGACCAGATGAGTACCTAATTATTAACTTAAGAAACTTCATTATTCTACTCAAATTAGTCAACTAGCTCTTATACTACCTTTGGTCTTTAATATCAAGAGCTAGTTGACTAATTTTAGTAGATTAAAAAAATTAGTTAAGTTAGTTATTAGTAATAAATAGGTATTGTCTTTTCTAAAATATCCTTACTAATCAAGTGTATTGGTTAGAATTATCATTATTATAAGGACTACCTTAAAAAAATAGATGAATATAAGAGACAAAATAGATTAGAGTATTATATTTAAAATCAAAATAAAAGTCAAACGAGCTTTCTTATATTAAGAAGTGGAGGTAATATTAGGTACCGGAGATAGTATTTTGCAAAGATCTCAATCCACTCTTCATTTCTTTCGTTAATTTTTTCCTGTAATAACTAATAGCATTTAACTAGTTTTTCTCATTCCATTTTTCTATATAGTATCACTATCATATAATAACTTTTTCTCTCCTATTTAAGTGATTAGATAAAGAGTAATTTTATGTTAAGTCACACTTTTTCCCATTATTATTACAAGTAACAGATTTAACCAACTCTGTTAATATATGTGAATTGGCTATAGATATCATATAATTTCTCTTTCATAGTTATTTGAATATAAAATTTTAATAAGAGGCCAAAATGAACAAGCTCAATTAATGAACTAGACAAATAAGAACATGATCATTGTTTTTTGGCCACAAAAGAACATGGTCTTATATCTTGGCTCATGTAATTCTCCTATAAGCATCTTCTATTAGTGACCAATGGGCTTATAAGTTAATTAACTAAATAATCAAAATCATTTTTAAGAGACAAGATTTTTCCAACGCATATATATATGACAGTCAGTCAATCATCAATAAATACATCCATTTTTCATTCATAAAATGAATTAACTAATCACAAGTACTTGAATCAACTAGTAAAAAAAATTGTTACAGTTTAATTAAAAGTCTCGTGTTTTAGTCTTTCATCTTGTCAGCATTAAAATAGGAGTGTTCAAGTGTGTCTCATATGAATATGAGTATGAGACAAAATATTATGTGTGAGTGTGACTGTGTGTATACATGTATATTAAATTATTAATTTTATTAATTGTAATATTAAATGAAAATATGACTCATCAGACCCAGAAGTCACTTTTTTTTTTTCGCTAATGTATAGGAACGGGCATATTAGTTTTTTTGCATAGATAAAGAGAAGATTTGAGTACGACTGACTTTCTAGCAAAATTCTCTTATTTTTTGACTGATAATTTTTGCGTACTTGATTACCCTCCGTCAATATGTCTTGAAGTGGATTTTGGGTGTGTTTGGATGAAACCAAACCGTGGTTTGGAAAAGTGATTTTGGAGAATAGATTCTGTGGAGAATAGATTCTGAGAAAAAGTGATTCTGAGAAGTGAGAGTGTTTGGATAGTTATTACCAGAAGTGCTTTTTACATGTGGAAATTACCAAAAAGGGTATAAGTTAATATGATAATTATATAAGGGATAGATTTTATGATTTATTTTGATTTGAAGAAATAAAATTGTTAATGAAATAATTTTTACTAACATAATTAATAATA